TTTTTTTTTTTTTTTTTTTTTTTTTTTTTTTTTTTTTTTTTTTTTTTTTTTTTTTTTTTTTTTTTTTTTTTGAGTTGTTGATGGCTACTGCGACTGAAGAAGAGGTTGATTATGAGAGTGATCCGGAAGAAGCGAAGCGGTCACTGGCGATGCGGAGGCGGGAGGCGAGTGACGATGAGGAGGGTGAAGGAGAAGGGAGGCGGACGATCCGGAGGATGGGGATTCATTCGGATGATTCGGATGGTCAGGGTGGAGCTGCGGAATACGACGATGAGGACGAATTGGGTGAAGATGTAGATGGAGATGAGGTTGGTGAAGGAGTTGAGGACGTTGATGAAGCGGAGGAAGTTGACGAAGAGGAGGATGAAGAGAGGTATGGGAATAGGAAGTTGGCCGGTCATGGCGAAACGGATGCTGCTTCCGGCAATACAGTGAAGGAACTGGACGATGATGGAAGACCGTTAGCAGAAGGACCAACTGATTTGCACGAGGAGAATCTAGAAGGGGAATTTGATGAGGAGAAGAAGGTGAATGAGCCCTTCGCTGTCCCCACTGCCGGGGCTTTCTATATGCATGATGATCGGTTTAGGGACAATGCAGGTGGTCGACACAGGTATAGCTTTTGTTCTCTTTTCTCATTTGGAGAAAAATCAGTCCAGTTTTGATTTTTAGTAGGCTAAGCCACCACTTATCTATGCATATATTTTAATTGTTTTCTAAAGAAAAACTAGGATTCGGCTAAAATTGTGAACGAACATAAATTAAAGAAATTCTTGAGAATTTTTTTCGATTGGGGTTTTTGCCATTCATAGGGAGCATTTTATGCTAGTGTGTTCATTAGAACGAGAGTTCTTTAATTATCAACCTTCTGTAATCTTCATCTTAGGTAACTTTTATCTGCACGGTTTTTATTTTGAGAGCCTAAAGTCCATCCTAACTCTAAAAACTCCCCCTCTAAGATTCTGTAGGTTTTTTTTTTCTTCTTCTAGGAGTTAGGGGATCGAAATTGTGCTCTGGAATGGTTTGTAAAGAAATGGGCACTTTTCAGCAAATGTAAATCCATAGAGAGTGCACTTTATCTTAATTTTCCAAGTTATAAAATGATCTATCCATGTAATAGACTAGGTTTTTTGGTACTATAGACAGTAATCTGATGAAATCGACACCAGAAATCCCTATGTTCCAGTGCAATTATGAGCAGTTTTATCATCAGCCTGGACATTGATTACTACGAGCTTTGCAGAGAAAATTCATATTTCTATCTCACAACATTAATTCCAATTTTCTAAGAAATGCTATGAGAACTTGCATGCTTTCCTTTTGAAGATGGAGGCAGCATTGTTTTTCTAGATTTGGATTTGGATCCCCCCCCCCCCCCCCCCCCCCCCCCCCCCCCCCCCCCCCCCCCCCCCCCCCCCCCCCCCCCCCCCCCCCCCCCCCCCCCCCCCCCCCCCCCCCCCCCCCCCCCCCCCCCCCCCCCCCCCCCCCCC